AACACCTGCCACATGCCAGACATTGTATGAGGTTCTAAGAATACAATGGAACACAAGACAGCCAGTTTCAGCCTCCACAGATTCAAGAGCATGGTATTCAAGACAAGAATAGGCAACCCTGTTATCATGTGATAAGTGTGAGGGAAGAAAAAAATTGAGGATGTGATGGAATCACACTGTTGTGTGCTTAGGTAAAGAGGTATTTAAAAGAAAGTCTCAATGTTGGGACTTGAATGACCAGAAAGGGTAGTGGGCAGTGTTCATAAACTATCCAAAGGTCAGAATCCAGAGGAAGTGGCAAGAGATATTTAAGATTAAAGCAGAATTAATATCATGGTCTTACACCATGATAGAGAGTTTGAATTTTATCTTCACTGGAAAACCTCTTAATCATTTTATGTATGAGACTGATGGAGACATCAAAGATGAGAGGACAATACAGTTGTTTCTTGGTATTCCCAGGTGATCAGTTCCATAACCTCCACTTCCCATACCAATATCTGTGGATGTTCCAGTCCCTTATATAAAATAGCATAGTATTTGCATATAACCAACACACATCTTCTTGCATTCCTCTGTCTCCCTGTGCTGCTCAGGGATGGTCTAACCTCAGTAGCTGGGAATATAAGCATGTGCCACCATACCCAACCTCCTCCTGTGTGCTTTAAATGTAAGTCTTACTTAAGTAGCTGTTATATTGTATCATTTTGGGAATAAATACAATTTAAAAATCTGTACATGTTCAGCAGAGGTGCACTTTGTTTTCTGGATATTTTCCATCTTCAATTAGTTGACTCCACGGATTCAACTGTTAATAGGGAAGGTTTACTTTAATAAAGAGAAGAGCAATTATTCAGTTGAGAAATAAGAGCAGTGGGAATGGAGTAGTCAGCTCTTTAAGACATTTATGATGCAAAATTTTCTGAGTATGTTTATAGACTGGATGTGGAGAACATGAGAACAGAAAAGAAGGACATTTCTGGTTTGAAAAATTAGATAGATGAGGTGCATCAGTTTACAAGGGGTACTTTCAGGAAAAAGAGGAGACGATGTAAAATAATTGTGAGGTAATGAAATGAAGACAGAAAAGTTGGACCTCATGAGAGGTCTGAGCTAGAGACAAATTAAGGAGCCCTTGATGTGTAAGGGCTAAATAGGCAAAGGTGCTGGGGGGCTAGCAATATCCAGGGAATACGTGGAATATAAAAGAATGATGATTATGATAGAACCATGATGGTCACTAAACAGAAAAAAGCAGACAAAGACACTGGAAAGGAGTCTTAAGAAAAGAGAGGGGAAAAGCAAAGACTTTGGGAGGGAGGTGTCAGAATATTTTAAAAATAAGGCAAATGTAGTGTCTCAGTAGCAAAATTTATTAAGGAAAACAATGTGAAATACTGCTAAGGATAAAGAAAGGATATTATTGAAAGGTGTTCACTAAAAATTAATTATAAGTCTCACTGGTGATCCATACTAATTTTTTAAAAAATGACTAGAAACAGATCATTTAGGAAAGTCAATGATCCTTTTATTAAAAGGTTTAGGTATGTCTTCTCCTTTCTATTCTGGAAGGCTAGTTCCTAAGCATTTTGTGAGGGATAAGATTGTATGCCATGCTTGGTATATATTTGGTAGTCCCTAGGATAACTCAAATCCATATTGAAAAGTGCCATGGATAAGATGATCTTCAAAGAAAACTCGTCCAGGTATGAAAATCTATAATTCAAATTTTAAAAAACTTACTGACGCAAAATTGCACATAATGGCCAATTTTATAATGTCTTAAAATGGAATATAAATATATTCAATTTAATACTTTAAGTACCTTAATCTCAGACATTATCAACTGTGATTAGATGCTTTTCTTTAATGATATCCTGAAAATCCCATTAGTTAAAACAAATATGAAAAGCTATTGCATTTGCTTTGCAAGTTTTTGCTATCCCATAAAAAAAAGATAATACAACCTACACTGCACATGAAAATCCCAAATTCAAGACAAAACATCATTTGTTCATTTTACATTAAAGCAAACATAGGCCAACAGACAAAACTGAGATTTTTCAATTCTATTTGCCGATACTAGACCCTTAACAGTATCTGTTCTTCCTTCTCTTAAAAAATTCTAGGTTTTGGTCAGGTGGAGAAATACCCTTTAAGGTATCAGGATTCTGTCAGTTTTTCGATCACTGGAAGCAAATACTTTCCATTTACAAAATACACTGAGGTTGTCAATTTAAAGGTATTATTCAAACATTACTCCAACCACAGATAAAAAATTGTAATTAGTTATCAGTTATATTAAGATAATCTAATATTAATTCTACCACTAGACTACTTTAAAAAATGTCAAAAAGCCTTTCAATATTTATTGATCACCAACACTTAAAACATAGATTTGTGGTAAATGACATTCTTTTTGTTGCTTTACTAATCTAGTAATCCAAAGCAAGATTTCATGTAGAAGCCCAGATTCCACCATGTGAACAACGGTATATGCAAGTGTTTTGCTCAGTTTTATTTTAGTTAAAAAAAATAATAATTTTAAAGCAGTTCAAGTTACCCAGAATTCAAACTTAAAGTTTAAATTTTAGTAGATTAATAAAAAATTCTTTATAAAAACATTACAAAGTTATATAAAATTATATTACTTATAAAATTTAAAAAATGAAGACAATGCTGCAAAACTGAAAAGGGGATTTCAAGAAATTTAAATACTGAAAGGAAATTTGCTAAATTCTATCGAATACTAATGGTATAGAATCCTGGGATGAGATGGGGTGGTTGCAGCTATTAAAAAAAAAATGTCAAAACATAGTTTTATGTATACAACTATCTTTATTTTTAATGATTATTAGAGAATTGAGTACTTTTGTGTACATTTCATTCATCTACAGTTCTTCTATAATTAAAATTAAATGAAGTAGGAAATGACCAGGGAATTTCATTAACATGAAAATGACATATAACTAATTCAGAGAATCAATTTTCAGTGCTAAACGAAATAAGTGATTCAATATTTTAATTCTCTTGTTCTACTAGGATGATAGTAAGGTCAGGGAGATAAAATGACTTTCCAAACTAACAGTGGTGGAGGTCCCAATATTAAGTGACATTCTCTAGTTTTCATAGCTCATGGGTTCTTCCCTAGATTGTATCTTTTCTGATTAAAAATAGGCCATGTTTCATTCTTTCATAGGAAAGATCATATGGCTCTTGCATGGGCTAGCACAATGCTCCTCCCAAAAAACACTAACATATAGTAGTAATTCATTACTACATCAAAACTTGCATTAAAGCTGACTACTTAGCAAAAACATGCCTTCAGCCTGAAAGGAATGGAAATGACTCACATATGTGTAACTTGTGTATGTATAAAAAAAAGTTTTACATGGGTATACACCTGAGAATTGTTTCAGCATAAGTTCCTCTGATTTGATTTGGTCAGGTACTACCACTGTGCAACTCCAGATTCAGAAAAAATCTTCCACCTCACCCAATCCAGGCATTGTTAAGCAGCCAGGCCAATTCTCCCATAGCTATCACATACCAAAAGGATTTAATGGTCAGTTCCACAAAATCATACAAAGCAGTTCACAATGCTTGGCCCAACATCAAAGAATCTTTATTAAGCATGTTAGGCTTGGTGATGCACATTTCCGGGGTGGTAGGGGGGGGGCTAAGATGCTTGCAACCAAAAAGTTTAAGAACTTACTCCCGTAGATTTAAAAAATATATAATAAAAAATAAAATAAAAAACACGAAAAGAAAATAGCACCATTATTTTAGTCTTTGGATGTTTTTTGTTGTTGTTGTTTGTTTGTTTTGTATATACAAAGCTTTCTAATCAATTTTTTTCGCCTTTACCGGGGTAGTTGCCAATGACACCCCCCTCCCACCCCACCCTCCGCACCAAAGAAAAAAACCTTCAAGAGAAAAGTGGTTCGTTTGAAAAGGTTCTTTCAACTTAGTTCTAGGCCTTGGAAATAACAAAAGCAATTCATGTCACAACGTACCAATCACTGGAATCTGGGTTCCTTCCTTGTTATACAAACATTTGCAAATGTTCCCAGTACCACCTCTAACAGAGATAATTGCTGTGTCACTGAGAAGCTAAAGACCTCTGAAACCTAAAGGAAAATGTCAAAGAATATCGAAAACCTGTCTTCTCGGGCTACTCCATTCCCTACAAAACAGCCAGAAACGAGATTTTCTAAATTCATGTGCTGCCGCTTAGCAGTTACCAACTGATGGGAAGGAAGCCCCCTCACCGGCACAACCCTTCAAGGAAACGTTGCATCCGCTCGGTTCCACCTCTATGGCCCGAGGCAGCTTCTCACCATTTCCAGGTGGGCACCGGAACCTTCGGGATGTCCGCTTCCCAGGGCAGGACTGGCCCTGCCCTCCGGGGTCTTTCGTTCGCTGTTGCGCTTCAGGCCGCTAGCGTCGCCCCGGCCTCCTGCCTCCCGGCGCCGCCGCTGCCGGGTCCACAGATACATGGCACCGGCGCCCAGCAGCAGGGGCGCTCCTACAGCCAGCGCCAGCTGCCATCGCGGCAGACCCCCAGTGCCCGGGCCCGAAGTCCCGCCGCCACCGCCCACTCCACTCCCAGAGCCGGGCGCAGCAGCTGCGACCACTGCTGCCTCCACCGGCTTAGAGGCGGCCATGTCGAGTGTCCTCTGCCACCGCCTCCCTGACAGTCGCGGGCGCCACAGTCACTAGGTAGTGTAAAAAGGAAGACCCGACCAAGCAAAGGAAAGCAATGAGCCAGAGAGCACGCTAGGAAGCGAGAGCGGACGGCAGGAAAGGGCCAGAGGTCACCGGAAGCCCAGGGCATGCCGGGCAGACGGGGCTTTGGGTCTCCTCCCTCTCAACCGTGGAGGGGGGCGTAGGGGAGAATCACTTCCGGGTTGAGGGAAACCGTGTGTGGTGGGCGTTCCTGGGCAGCCCTTTCTCTTTCCTTTTGCCTCACTGCTGTTTAGGGGAATCACTTCTGGGGTCTTGGGCCTCCAGCAGTAGCAGATATCATCCTGTCCACCTTCAGGGTGGAAGGACAGATGGCCCGCTCGCCTAGCGGAGAGGAGGAGAGCGCGCATACACCGGGCTTGCCGTGTGCGGACGATCAGAGCACTGGGTACGCGCCGCGGGGCACTCTGATTGGGCGAGAGAGACGGAAGAAATGTGGAGGTTATTGGTTGGCAGGGGAAGTGGGCGGGGCGTAGGCCGAGCTGTTCAGCTGATTGGTAGGTTTTGGATCCCGTTTTCCCGTTACCGCCACGTTGGCTTTACTTGGACCTGCGCAGCCGTTAGCTCTGCTGTCCGCGTGTGGAGGAAACCAACTGTTTGGAAGGACATTAAAAACGAGCGAGGGAAGGGTTGAATAGCTTACTGAGTCGCCCATCTTCTAATCTATACCATAGCGAGATTTTAGTTTGGATGAATTTGAGGTTATGGGGGCAATAGCAGAGGGCAGAAAAACTGAGTTGAAACCGGCAAAGCCAGGTTGATTCCAGTCCAAAAGGGGTTGAGTGGGATTCCTTGAGTCTCAATCCGAACCAGTTACGAAAGCAATGACGTGTGTGTCGTTAAGAGATCCTGGAACTGAGTAGGCGGAAGTGCGAGGCCCCAGGCTTTCCACCTGCTTCCAGCCTTCCTTTATGTGGTTGTATCTTGAGCAGGATTCCATCCGACACCCCAGCCCACGCAGGCTGCCTGGAGTCACGCGCCTGCCCCAACGCTCTGATCCGCCTACCCTCGTGCTCGTGCTTGTTTTGCACTGTCTTCAGTATCTCCTTCCCAAAATGTGATTTCAGTTCATAGGTTTTATATCTCTAAAAGCTTACATATGAAAATAACCGTTGCAAGGTTGTTGCAGTTAACGGTATTTTCAAGAAAAAAAGACAAGTAGGAATAGAGAATTGAGAATCCATAACTGACTTCCCGTTTCAGGCATACTGGCTTGCAAAGCCTTATATTAAAAATTTATAATCATTCTGCGTTTAAATACAAGAGGATTCCCAACATAAAAGAAGTGTTATTCAAAGACAGAAAGGACATAAATAAGTTGTGCCAAAATGGACTGGATAAAATAGAAATACTTAAATTGGAAGTATTTCAGGATCATTGCTTTTCTTTTACTTCATTACTAAATAAATTGGGTTCAGGCAACAGGATTTGTTAGCAACAAATGTAAGAAAATGGGCTAAAAATAATAGCAGTGGAATTGGTTTGATAAAATAGTAATTGTTAGAGATGATCTACTTTCTCCCTTCCTGAACCCCTTTAACTCCGAATGGCAATCCTCTTGTCTCTTCAGATAAAATTGGCCTTTTTGGGGTTTTTCTGTCTTAAAATTTCAATTTTCTATGTCATTTTGGGAGATTGTAGGTTGCTAGTAATTATAAACTATTGGCAGGAACTAAATCGTTGAAGATTTAAAAAATCTTTTGCTTGTTTATTGAAAAAGGCGATACATTATAATGCTTGACTTCCAGAAGTTACAAAAGGTGTACTGTGAAAAGCCTACCTCTGGTCCCTGTCCTCACACAGTTTCCCTTTGCAGAGGGCAATCAATGTTAGAATTTCTTGAAACATTTTTTATATTAAGTAATACTTATCTGAAGGGTTTACTTGTTTGGTTTTATTTTTACTAAAGGCATTTGTAAATTAGTTTATTCTTGTTCCTTTCATAGTTTGTAAAGAACATCTCATTCCATTCTCTTCCATATTCATCTCTTTTCTCCCATTTTCTCTTCAATTTTCTCATTGCAGTGTAGAGCAGAATTAATAATGTTATTGGCTTTGCAACCTTGCTGACTGGTTGCATGCTTTCCCTGCTTTGAAATGGTAAAAACAGCTGGGTTCAGTGGTGCACATGTCACCTGAGTGACTGGTGGCTGAGAAGAGGATTGCAAATTCAAGGCCAACCTCAGCAGCTTCACAAGACATTGTCTCAAAAAAAAAAAAAAAAAATTACTGAGTGTGGCTCAGTAATAAAGTTCTCTTGGGTTCAATCCCCAGTACCAAAAGGTTACAGTAACAATTTAATTAGATAATAGTTAAAAAAAATTTTTTTTGAGGTTTGTTGCAAAATAGTTGACAGGTTTAGTTACTGAATTTTCTCACTATTAAAGGAGAAAAGTAAAACTATTCTAAAAAAATGAAGTTCTATGCATATTAACCTTTTTTTTTTTTTTTTGGTATGTTAATAGAACTCAAAAGAAACAGCTTTCTCCTTTGGTTTGTATTTTAGGAAGAAGGAATTCTAGCTGAGTGTGGTAGCGCATGCCTGTAATCCCAGCAGATCGGGAGGCTGAAGCAGAGGATCAAAGCCAGCCCCAGCAAAAGTGAGGTGCTAAGCAACTCAGTAAGACCCTCTCTAAATAAAATAAAAATAGGGCTGGGGATGTGGCTCAGTGTTTAAGTGCTCCTGAATTCAATTCCTAGTACACCCCCTCCCCCCACCCCTAAAAGAAGGAATTCTAATGGATGATGATTTGGAAGATGTGAGTTTTTATTCTAGATTTTAGTACCATGAAACTTTTTAGTATCACTGTGGGCAACCTTGCTTTTTATAGAATGTGAGGGGTGGATCAGATGGGTTTTAAGGCTCTTTATTTTTTAAAATGGTATGATTCTTTCCCAACAGTTTTCATTGCTGATGAAAGTCTTTCAGATTGGTACAGTTGGTAGATTGATAGCTGAATTGGGGGGTGGGGGGTGGGGAGGTGTCCCAGACCTTTGAGTCCACAAACATGCTTATATGGAGCACATCTATACACAGCTCTATCCTTTTTTCTGTCTTAGGTTTTATTCTCTTTTTATCTTCACTGAAAAGTTACTGGAAGAATTACCTGTACCTGTTACTTCTACTTTTTTATTATCCATTTGAATCCAAAATTTGTTATAACTTTACAATTACTCTGCTACTACTTTAAAAGTCACTAAATTCATTTTTGTTTTTTTGTTTCATAACCCAGTACTTGATACACTGTCATTTCCTCCTTCTCTAACCAATATCTAGATTGATATTGCCCAACAGAACTTTTTGTGACGTTTTAAGTATTTTAAATGTATGATGTCCAATATGCTAATCACTACCCACATGTAGTTACTAAGCACTAAACTGCAGTTACTATGATTAAATATATTTTAATTTTATTTAGTTTTAATTGATGTAAATAGTTTCATGTGGCGAATGGCTATTGTATTGGATAGCACAACTCTATATAGGAATTCATAAGAATGTTATTTTGTCTGCAGTCTCCATTAGTAATCAAAGTAAACCTCATTGCTTCAGGTTCCATTTCTTTGCAGATAATCTCTATTACCTTGTGATGCAACTTGTCTCTTTACCTCATTATGTTTTCTAGAACTTTCTGAGAAGATTGCTTGGATGCTTTGTTTTTGTCAGAAATATAGCTCTTCATCTTCCCTCCCCATTCTTTGTTTTTATATAATCCTTTTTTTCCCTCCCATTTTCTCATGAGGGGAAAAAAGAGGATTATATGAAAGGTCGTTCTTACCTTATTAGTGACCCACGCTTGAAATCTTAAACCTTTTAAAACCTCTTTTTCAATCCTACCCACCCAAGTGCACATATAGGCACATGTAAACAGAAAATCAACTGTGAAGTCTTCAACAAGATCAATTTCTCTAATATAATTTTTTATGTTTTTCTTCTCTTCATATCCTTGCCACTTCCTCAGTTGAAATATAAAAACACCTAAATGTATGTGACACATAACATGTTTAATAAATATGTGCATTTTTTAGAACAACTAATCACCTCCTGAATATCCCAACTTTTAATAATATTACACTGGGGTTGGAATTTCGACATATTGATTGCAATGGGGAGGCACAAACGTTTAGTCTATACATTTATCTTATTTTTTCTTTTTCCTATTTCCTTTATCTTTCCTCAACCCTGTGTTTGTTTTCCAGATACCCTTCCTGTCTATAGTACCCCTCTTCTGTGTGTCACCCTGCACTTTGATTTCACATACCTTTCCTACAGTATAACTCCAATTGCACCCTTGAATCCAAAGGTTTTTAGAACCTCTCTACTTCTATGATAAGGCTAAATGTTTCTAGTCACTCATATCTCCCTTCATATGCTTCCTTATTCTCCTTGATTCACATTGTTACCACTCAGCAATGTTTGAAATTATTTATGACCTTTCAGTAGGATGTAAGCCCCATGTTACCAGAAACTTTGTTCATCTTGTACTCCACAGTCCAGTAGATAATTGGTGTGGTGGTTAATTTTATGTGTCAGTTTACTGGGCCACAGGATCCCCTGATATTTGTATATAAATATTATTCTATTTGTATCTATCAGGATATTTTGGGATGAGATTAACATTTCAGTTGACAAGCTGAGTAAAGAAATTTGCCATCCCAAATGTAGTTGCTGTGATCCAATCAGCTAAAGGCCAAAACAGGACAAAAAGCCAGACACATCGATTCTTGCTGGACTGCCTTAAGTTTGGACACAGATCTTTCCTGCTTTGGACTTGAACTGAAACATTGGCTCTTCTTTGGTTTTGAGTCTGCTAGCTTTCAGATTTGAACAACACTATCAACTCTTCTGGATTTCTTCAGCTTGCTGACTATAGATATGGGACTTCTCAGCTTCCATAAGCATGCTAGTAAATTCCTTATACAACACACATGCAGTATAAAATAATTATATTCTGTTTATAGCTCTCTAATCTATATATGTCTCTTGTCCATCTATAACTTGTTCTATTTCTCTGGAGAATCCTAATATAAATCTTGGTATCACCAATGAGATGCTATTGTAATATATAATTGAACATCTGGAATTGATTTTGGAACTGGGTGATGGATATAAGCTAAATGAGTTTTAAGGTGTATGCTAGAAAAAGCCAAGATTGAAAGAACTGTTGGTAGAACTATGAACCTTGAAGGCAGTTCTGTTGACAGCTAAGAAAGAAATGAAGAAACTAGAAACAAAGCTTCCATATTCTTAGAGAATAGATAAATAGCCAGATGTGGTGGTACATGCCTATAATCCCAAAACCTTGGGATTGCAAGTTCAAAGCCAGCCTCAGCAATTTAGCAAGGCCCGGATACAACTTAGGGGGACCCTATCTCAAAATAAAAAAGGAAAGCGTTGGGATGTTGCCCAGTGGTTAAGCGCCCCTGGGTTCAATCCCCAGTACATAATAATAATAGTACATATATAAATAATTTTGAAAAGAATGTTGGTAGGGATATGGATGTTAAAGGCCATTCTGGTGAGGTCTCAGAAACAGGGTATATGTTTTTGGAAACTGGAAGAAAGGCAATCCTTACAATCCTTATAAAGTGAAGAGAGTGACCAGATTTTGTTCTACTATTATAGAAACTGGATATTCAGCAGAGGAGATGTCTAAGTGAAATATTGTAGGTAAGCTTGGAACTTCCTTACTGCTTATAGAAAAAGTGGGATAAGAGAGGCAAATTGAAGAAGGAATCGTTAATCCAAAAGGAGCAAGAACTTGGAAATTCGAAAAATTGAAAAAACCCCTACAACACTTGTTCTTAAGAGAATACTAAGAGAATGGCTGAACAGCGATAGATGCTTTATTTCATTTATCTTGCATTTTATATAGTGTATATAGAGTCTTATCTAATCCTATATGTCAGAGAAAAAGTATATATTGTTTTGCATTGGACCATCTGCTGTAGTTTGAATGTGTCCACCAAAATTCATATGTTGAAAGATATAATCCCCAAAATCATATCTTGGTAGTATTTGGAAATGGGATTTTAAGAAGTAAGAGTTAGATGAGGTAATGAGGGTGTCTCTCTCCCCCTCATGAGATTAGAGACTTCATAAGAAGAGGAATAATGACTGAGCTCAACACGCCCTTGCTCTGCCATGTGATGCAAGAACCTATTCCTGTCATATTATGGTATAGGAAGACAGCCTCACCAGCCACCTATACCTTGATTTTGGACTTCCCAGCCTCCAAACTAGGAAGGTTCTTTATAACTTACTGAGTGTGTAATCTTCTGTTATAGCAGCAGAAAACAGATTATGGCATTAGACATGAGTATATATTTCTTCCCCACAATTATCACATTGCTGCAATTATTTGTTCTCATTTATGCTACCTGTGTTCAATTCTGAGTCCTTGAAGGATGGGATTCATATTCTAGTCATCTTTGTTCTCCTGCATCTTTTACAGGATTGGACTTATGATTAGTGCTTATTAACTTATTTTTCTACCCATCGCAAAACCTGAAACATGGTTAATGCAGCATAAAGAGTTCTTAACTGCTACTGCTTTTCTATTACTCTTGCCAGTATTAAAACTTGTGCCACCATTGTGACCAACACCACTGGTATCAGTTAAAAACAAACTCATTTGCCACTGCTGCACCAGAAATAGTCTGCTTCCATTACACCCACCATTGTAGCTGCTAGCTCCAGTCCCTAGCATGCTGTGGTCAATGCTCCCACTACCACAACTGCAACTGTTTACAAAGGGACCTGATTGGTTTGTGCTTTGTATCCTACTTTGTCCTATGTAGAATTCCCTGTTTTCCTGAGCAGTTTTCCTCATACTGTTACTTTTTTCCTTATCCTGATGGTTTTTACCTTTTTCAATTCTGTCAAACTATCAGTTGAGTGGGAAGTACTGCTTTACTGCTCTGGGGGAATGTTATGTCATGATTCAATAAAGTGGCTGATCTTTTTGGTGTTAGAAGTTTCTGCATTTATTTTCAGGGGATAATCTTTAGTAACTATAGTTCCCTTTCCTTCACTGCGACATAACTCATATGTATATTTTATACATTCATTTGCCTCCTTTCTGCTTATTTACACAGATTTATAAGATCTTTCAATCCTTATCAACTTAACTCATTGCCACTCACAAGAATTTGCGTCATTCACAAATATAGAAATATTTCTTTGTATTATAATTAATAAAAATATTACATATGGATTATGCTCATTTTTTATTTGTTGTTCAAAACATTACAAAGCTCTTGGCATATCATATTTCATACATTAGAATCAAGTTGGTTATGAACTCCCAATTTTACCCCAAATATGGATTATGCTCATTATGCTGGGACAAGAGAGGGTTGAGGTCCAACCTGCACTTTGCTATTCATAGTCTTGTGTCAGGTTGGGTCTACCTGGAGTATGATGCTCCTTTTTCTGATTTTCGTGAAGATACTGGTCAAGTGATGGGCCTAGAAGTGGTGTATCCACCCCAAATGGATGTCTAGTCATTGATGGAACTTTATTTATTTATATGTGGTGATGAGAATTGAACCCAGTCCTTCGCACATGCTAGGCAAGTCTCTACCATTGAGCCACAACACCAGCCCTCTAATTTGGTT